GATTCATTGTGAGACCAAACAAATACAGATTCAAACATTTAGTATACAAGGAGAACTCTCATTATAATAGTTCATTTAAAAACCTCTGTCATTTGAGACTTTTCTGTTTGATTCTGCCCCACATCAAATACACACTGGAACATTTGGCCCGATTGAAAGCTGAAACTACTAAATGAGACTTGCTGGAGGAGATATTAAACCCCAAAGCAGCTACAAGGGACTGCAAACCACAACACTTAGATGTAATATTACACAACATCGCACATTTGTACAGCAAAGGACTGTGTGATCGTGTGCATGATGTGCGCAATAATTGATTCATTGTGTTGATGTTTGAGAGCCTGCTGCACACAATTTTTAATTTTATTTTTGCTGATGAACAGTGTCAAAGAAAAAAAAAAACAGACATGCTGGGCAAAGCTCAGGTGTAAATGGGTCACTTATATACACAAGATGAGGAGGGAAAGAATGAAGGATGCATCACAAAGAAAAAGGTCCAAAGTGCAGCAGCTATAAACAGCAAAGTGACGCAGTGTGCCAGACGTGTTTACACAGTAACATCCTTTGGTCGGTGGTAGAAGCCACCTGTGTCCTTCAAATCAAATGGTTCTTGCATGACTCACCTTTTCCTAGCAAATAGAGTCCACTCTTCACCTTATCACACTGTCGCTGATTTTACACCGAAATGCCACGGTTGGTGAACACGTCCGTCTCCACGCAGCAGCTGAATGATTTTTTATTTTTGGACAGCATGGAACAGATGAGTTAACATAATAAACAAGAGAGTTGTTTGCTTAACCATTAAACTCTTAAGACAGAGCTTGCAGATATGTGGTGCCTCACTTATCATCATTTCTAACTGGATTTAAAATCAGAAGCATCATTGTTTGCAGTGAGCACAAAACTGTCTTCACTCAAACCATAAAATCACTTTTTGATTCTCTCTCTCTCTCTCTCTCTCGCTCTTTGTTTTCTTTTGTTGTTGTTGACTTGGTTGGTTTCCAAATAGACACTGGCTTTGAAACTCAGACTCCCACACATCTGCCTTGTTGTCCTGACTTTGCAGCGCCTGATGAAGAAGCTACACGGTGTTGAAATAATGCAGGGCAGGGATGACGTGAGGGTATAACAGGGTCTCTAACACATTTAATACAGCAGCAGGTGTGATTATACAGTCTTATTACGGGAATGCATATTATAGGGATGATGCGACTGCTGTAAGTGAAAAGGTTGCCGGGGAATGAGGAGTCGTGTTCTGGCAAGTTGTTGCTTAGTGAAAACAATTTTCTTACACTGCGGTATGTATTAAATATATGCATCAGAGCCACAGTAAGTCAAAGTATCCTTGCGGTGGTGAAGCGAAACCTTTTTTCTTTTCTGAATTATTCATACTGTTGGTTGGTTTCACTTTTTTAAAGGACGGACATCGACTCACAGGTGATGTAAGCTGCAGCACAGCCACCCACATGTTACATCAGAGGCTCTGGATCCGGTGTAACTAGTGTGGGGCAGTGTGATACACAAAAACAGAGCAAAACACACTTTTTTGTACGTTTCTCATTATGTGAATGTGGTCAGCGTTTTGTGCTACAAGCTCATATTTTTAGCTCAGTGTCAAAAGAAATTATAAATATAAACAAGCATTCAATTTTACATTAATCTTGACGCAATTATCTGCTTATCTGCTCTTTTCGGATGATTCACTGGAAAAAAAAAAAGTGGTCAATTAATTGTTTGTTGAACAGAAGCCAAAACTGATTCACTCTAAAAGGACTAAAGAAAATATTTAAATGTCTGATTTTGAAAGTGGTGTTTTTCTCATTTCTACCATCCAAGCCATCTGAAATAAAAGCAGCAAGAGACCACACTGAGAAAATCATCATTTATATCTGACAGCAACAAGATTAGTTCAGAATCTGAATATGGCATGAATGCCCTCAGTTCCTTTCTCACTCCAGATCTCCTGATGCTTTCATACGCTTGCATTAAATTCTGCACAGCAAGGAATGCTTTTTTCTTTATAATTACCAGATATTATAAAAATGTGCGACACTTTTTACTCATCTAACATCATAAAAAGTCCATAAAACTGCACCCGTGAAGTCTGATCCTCTGACCGGGGTGCTGCTAATGCGCCAGTACGAGCGATGCTGCAGAGTTTCACATGAAACCCAAGCACAGTGTTAAGTACGAATTAATTGCTGTCATGACACATCTGTGCTGCAGAGCTTCAGAATCCAGGTCACCACGCAGTTACGCTGCTCAAGATGACGCAGGTTTGGCAACCTGTTCAGGTACCTGATGTACATTTTTGTTTAACCGAACATAATGTTTTTCTTTTTTGTTTCTCCAGACCAGCGGAGCGCTCGGGGGAAGATGTTGACATAATCCTGGCACGTCTGAAAAATGTGAAGGCCTTTGAGAGATTCCACCCGAGTTTGCTGCAGCAGATTTGTCTGTGTGGATTCTATGAGTGTTTGGAGAAAGGCATCACCTGTGGGTCACAGCACACACTCTGACATGTGTCTGAGGAAACAGTTCTGCGCTAATGAGAATAAAAAGGATGTTTTGAATGGATTTAAGTACATTTATGCATGTGCTGTTCAAGTTTGAGATTCTACAGCTTTAGTTACTTGAAAGATGAAGATTCCACACAGCAGATGATATAATAGGTTTTGATTAAATACAACACATTGTTTATTAATAAAGCAGTGATTTCCAAACTTTTTAACTTCTGATGTCTTGGAAAAACCAACACGTAGCCGTGGTCACATTTCAGATGACTATGACTTGTTAACAGCTCCGTCAAAGACAGATATTTACCTCTAATGTCTTTACACTGTTTCATTTCAATAACTGTTAAAATGATCTAATATCTCATCAGAAATCAAAGATTAGATAGAAAACATATCAGAACCTTGTATCTTCCTCTTTCCTCCCACTGATGCTTCACTATTAATATTCTAATGATGATTGATATCAGTCAGAGAGACCAAACCAGACTTTTAATTTAATGCTTGGACTTTATTTTGCTGCTGACATTAATGTACTTTTACTTAAGTGGGATTTTTCATTTACTATTTAGATTGCTGTATTTATACTTTTACTTGATTTTCTTTTTCAAACTGAATTGTTTTTTTGTTTTTTTCCCAGTGTATCGCCAAGGAGACATTGGTACCAGCTGGTACGCTGTACTGTCTGGTTCTCTGGATGTTAAAGTGTCCGAAACATCAAGCTATCAGGTATGGCTGATGTTATTTCACAAGCAGTAAATGAAACCCGAGTTTTAAATAATTATATGTGAACAGGTGAAACTTCTCTCTTTTCTTTTTCTCTATAGCCTTGGCATGACCACATCTATCTATCTATATATTTTTTTATATGAAATAGTTGTTTGGTGTGTTGATTTTCTGAATTTGCTCCCAAATCTGCATCATTCTATTTCTCTGTGAAGATTTATTATATCAGTGAAGCTCCACTTGAAATTCATCAAGTCCACATCCAACCTCAAGCCTGTCTGGAGAGTGGGCTGTAAAGATTTCTTGCTTGTTAGATGGGAGAACATTACAGATTATTTGTTAATACTGGAGCTTTATGCACCTTCGTCAGTTTGTCTGCCTGCTGATTGGAGTAATTTCTTTGCAGATTGGAGTGTATCCATCTATTTAGCACGAGTGCTCAGGAGATTGCCTCTAACCTTTGAGAGTGGTCTGATCAGTGTAGAGCACTGCTCCTCAAGCGCTGTGCACAGAAACCTCTTTATTTTCCTTTTAGCAGTACAAAGACGTTACATTTGCATTACACAGAATTCTTTCTCTAGCTGGATGTTTCGTTCTTATGTCTGTGTCTCCTGCAGGATGCTGTTACTATATGCACGCTGGGGACCGGCACGGCGTTTGGGGAGTCGATCCTGGATAACACCCCCCGACATGCCACCATTGTCACCCGGGAATCCAGCGAGCTCCTACGCATCGAACAGAGGGAGTTCAGGTCTCTGTGGGAGGTAAGAAGCACTGTTTGATCCATCTGTAGTTGTGGCAGCCTACAGGGATTCTCTGGCTACATTACAGTCTGTGATAAGCTCGGTCTGAAAAAGCTGTGAGCTGAGTGGTTTCTTACCATTTTAGGCCATTTTCTTGAGACACCTACAAAAATATTCAGATTTCTCAGGAGCAAAAATTCTAAGAGTACATTCATGTTTTCTGCCTGGATATGTGGCTCTGTCAAATTCCCTTTTTTTTCTCTTGTTAATCTAATAATAATAATAACAGAAAACAAAATTAAGCCTGATTATGAAACAGGAATCCAGTTTGTAGAACTGCCCACAATAACTGGTAAAATAAGACATACATGAAAGTAAAATGTGACTCTTTTTACATTATTGAAGTCACTGATGCAGACACAGGGCAGATCCTTAACAGCTGAATGGATCGCTCAAAGGCAGTTGCTTTGTGTATATCCTGTAATTTCTAACCAATCGAGGGGGCAGCTTAAAGCCAGAGAACAGCCACCTGTCTGAGCCGGTTCTTTGTTGCAGCTGAAACACTGAATGTGAAAACTGTGACGAACGGAGCTGAACGCGAGCCAAAGCGTAGGTGGTGGTGCACTCAGACCGTCTAGTAGCTTAATGAAGGTTAGATGATGAATTTATTGTTGGGCCTCTGTAGGAATGATGGGATGCTGTTCGCTTATTAAGCTGTAACCTGCTGCAACCGAGTTTTTGTGGAAGCGCCGCACCTGATGTTTATTAGCGCGTTGGGGGTTTTACACCTTTTGACCACTAGATGGAAGTGCAGCACTGAGGAGAAACTGACTCTCTGTGGCCCTGTTTGTTTTCTCATGTGTCTTTATGTGGATTATTTCAGCAGAGACATCCAGTGTGAGTGTATGATGGGCAACGTTCACATGCATCATTAGCTAAATACTTAATACATCTCGCTCCGTCGCTACAAACATATTATAGCTTTGGCATGACTTAGGTGTGTAAATACGAAAGAGAAACAGCAATGCTTATGGACAACTCAGAGCAGGATGTTCCACTTCAATTACTCTCTGCTCATGTCGGCTGGTAGGTGTCACGCTGTGTCGAAGTCCATCTCTGCTCCCCCTCTGTACTGGGCTGGTTTCCTGAGAGAGACAGCCCATTTCCTCTGGGACCACAGGGCATCAGCAGGTTAAATTATGGGCTGTGTGTCTGTGTCAGTGCACTGACCAGCAGCGGTGTGACTGGATCCTTTGCTCTGTTTGCGTGGAAGCTGAGGATCACGTGGAGGTACTACTGGGCTACACATTTCACCTCAGCCCTGGGGCGACCTCTTCAGTAAGGTCTGTGGCAAATGAGATTTTACGGCTTCTGTGTCTGGCGCCCACATTGTCTTATCTTGTCTTTTGATCTCTTTGGACTTGTTTGTTTTGTGATATAATGATTCACTGCAAAGATGTGGCATGGTGCATAATGTTTGACAGATATTAAGGAGATGCAATTTCATACCGATGGTGTAGATATGAAGAAGCACAAGGTTTTTCTTTCTCCAGTTTGAAATTTACGTTCAAGGTTGTTATTTGTCACATTTATGTTAATGGCAGTGTAACGCTGTCTGTTGTTGCTTTGTTGGCTTTGTTAATCGTCTAATCTTGTATTTTCTATTTAAAAATGTCACGTTCTAAATCTGTTAAATCTGAATAAAGACATGAAAGTATGACTTTGTAACATCACAACTAGAGCCTGACTAATCAGCTGTTCTTAATAATCTAATATTGGCCAGTCACAGATATACTGATATGATATAAAAACTTTCTTTTAAGGGGCATAATACAGAAAAAAGCTGCTTGGGGTAATTTAGAAATGGTGTCATTACATAGTTTGAACAGTAAAGCAGCTTTGACTCAATTTTTTTTACAGCACTTTCTGCAGCACATGCAGCAGAGTGTGGTGCGGAGTCGAGCTTTATCTTCATGATAAGTTGTTAACTAGTTGATGAAATAAATTGCTGGAAGGTTAATAAGCAATGATTCCATTAATTTCCCCTTTCAATATAACTTTAATATCAATATCAGAATTTTCTAGTCCCTTAAGTCAATATTGCCTCTAAAAATCCAGGAAAATCCAGGAGTTCTGATTGAGTTCGTAGGTGCAATGCTCCTTAAACTTTGCATATTCATAGATTCTGGATTGTTTTAATGAGCGAGAAGGATTAGATGTAATTTCAAGAGTTCTATCAAGGCAATCGAAACTGATCAGTCACAAATTATTATCTCAAATAACATGTTTTGATATGTCGCTAATCATTTCTGAAGGGGATCTTATGCATGACCTTGCATTAATTTAATCAGTCATGTAGTTCAAGTGGAAGTTCTTCAAACTAGATGCTTGCTAAAAGACATTTCTGCCCTCCGTGGTGTTTTACAGTGTTGCTTGTTGTATTCCAGCCAAAACCCATGTAAACTATTTGCAGCATTAGCATCAATACATGGATCTTCTCTTGTCTGGATGCGCTGAGTCGACCAAGCTGTTACTGAGGGGCCCTGCAATCAAAATTCACATAATCACCTTGTTGACAGATAATCGTTACAGCAGCTCCCGGTATTTTAAAGTTTGCTGTTGGTACAACTTATTCACCGGATTATTCTGCTTGGCAGTGGGGCTTGCGTATTTCCTCCCAAGTTTTACCGCAATGCAGAAAAGCTGCTCATGTGGTATCTTGTTACTGGCGTCAGGCTTCAGACTGTGTGTGTACTGTGTGTGACAACAAACTGCCTCCAACTTTCCTGTGTGTCTCCATGATTGCTTTAGCATAGAAAGTTCAGCTACTTCACACAGACTCCATTTAAGCTGAGATACATTTTGTGGCGCATAAAAAAAAAAAAAAAAAAGTTAAGCAGCATGAGGGCAGTATTGCTTACAGGCATGAAAATGAGCGTGAACAGAGTAATATCGCTGGGTGTCAGCTGATATGTGGAGATAGCAAAGGAGTGATGTTAAGGGAAATATATCACCAACTCTGCTTTGACCTGACAGAAGCACACTTGTACCACAGAACTGTCCTCCTGCCCGCAGCCCAGCACCCTTAAAAACTATGCCAGAGTGAGGACAGCATTGCCCTAATGAACCAGTGGATGCTGCTTTTTTATTCATGGCCGCCATTGTCAATTATTTATTGTGTATTTCTCTTGAGGTTTTCGTCTTTCTTCTGAAATCTTTATGGAATTGCTCAATAAATAACAGCTTATATATAGAGCTGATGGTTACAGGACGTCCAGTGCTGCATTTCTTTCTGCATGCTGCTGTGGTATATAACATCTGCACTTGCCAACGCATGTGTGAGCGGTACATGGGTGTCACTCATGCATGCTGTTTTAATATTTATTTTCTAATGCTGTTGACCGCTACAACGGCTACTATAGCAGCTTTCATGTAGCTTGGCACGTGACAGAAGCTGGATTCTGTCGCTGGGATCGAGCAGCCGTGTGCTTGTTTGTTTAACAGAGCAGACATGAGCCCAGCTCAGCATCCATGGGCAGGCGGACCGAAGCTTAGATGGCCTGATCATCAACCGACTCTTTACTTTGTTTCCTGCTTCCGATGGCCGCTGTGATTGAAACAACACAGTTGTAATTTGTGTTTTTAGGCTTGTAAGGCGGCGGCCTGGACAGGAAGCTTTTGTATTTTGAATCAGATGTGATAGCTTTAGAGGCGTGTGCACCGCACATGTTTTAAGTAGCACGGCGCTACAGATGCTTACGGTTGTATATATTGTGCGTGTGTGTCTTTATGCTTGGGGCGTGTCTGCTGGGTGCTGAGCTGAGAGCGTGGGAGAGAGTTTGGTGTGTCACTATCATCAGGCCATAGCAGCAGCCTGGTGGGCAGCCAGTGGAGAAAGATGACGAACAGAAAGTGGCAGGGATGCACCATGGCCTCCAGTGTCTGCAGAGTGGGTGTGTGTTGGGGGGGAGGCTGAGAAAGAGAGGTCACGTGCATTTACGATCTAAGTACCACGATACATCCAGGGCCAGGCGGCTTCAAGGAAAGAGCAGGAAGATTGTATCAAAAACACATTAATCCTTTATCTCTGCTTACAAAGCTGTTGTGTCATCAAGAGCCTGCAAGTGAAGCCCAACCTGTAAAATGAAACATAATACCTGCGAGCTGCAACCGGCTTTACTGATACATATTATAGCTTTTAGCCATGTTAGCAGTGTAGCCCCATGGTGTCAGTCATTCAGTTGGTTCACAATAGTCATGGTGTCCAGAGGATGAATCATGCTGACTTTGCTAATCATCTTGTCTTCCTTCGTCTTTATAATGTTGACATTTGGGTTTTTGAGCAAACGTTTTGCACATCTGTTGAATATATGACCCTGCCACCACAGCAGCTTGGTGCTGACTTTCATGGTCCTTGTACACTTCAGTGATCGACTGACTTTTCATCCAATTAAATTTCGTCATTGTCAGTAAATATTAAAAATTTTCCACGACTTTATTGCCGGTTTCCATTAAAATGTGCTCACAACTGTGATTAAGCTGCTGACACGGTGCTGGACTTTTAGACTTCCATCCATCCATTTTCCATACACGGCTGAATCCTCACTAGGGTCACGGGGAGCTGGAGTCTATCCCAGGGTGAAGGCAGGGGACACCCTGGACATGTCGCCGGAAAGATCCAAGTGCCCCCACCGGGACACGAACCGGCGAGGCAACAGTGCTACCAATTGCGTCACGTTGCAGCCTAACTTTTAGACTTTTGCTTCTTAATTTCAGCCTTTAGTGTGACTTAATTGTTACATGATTCATTCAAATTTTGAATCAGACTTACGAAAACACTGACACTGCGGGGCAGAATAATGTAACCAGTAGCCAAGAGCTTCCATAAACTTTCAGTACAAAGCACATCATCTGGAAGGAACATAAAAAAAGAGTCAGTTTCAAATTTCAATATTAAATTTGTAAGGAGAAATTAAAGAAGATGGAATGCCTGCTGTCTTGGGTAAATATAATTTAGCCTA